CATCATCTACGTACGGTTTGAGTAAATAAAAATAACTTCGATAAAAAGTGTCATCGAAGTTGTAACTTCGATAACCACTGCCATAGAAGTTGTAACTTCTATAAAAAAAATTCTATCGAAGTTAAACTTCGATAAGAGGAAGCATCGAAGTTGTAACTTCGATAAAAATTTTATCGAAGTTATAACTTCGATAAGCATGCTAACTTCGATACGACATATATATGTATGACACGTAAGAAAAGAAGAAAATCTGTACATGATGTACATGAATAGAATGGAAAAACATCATTATGATATGTCCTATAACTTGTTGAGAAATAACAAATATGAATATTGAAAAATATCAACAGACTCATTCGATAGGATAGACATCCGTCAATTTTGAAAATATGTGATTGTTATTAGTAGCATTCGCTGATGTTGAATATTATGCACATTTTTTTACAACAAAGTTAAGATGAGCGAATCTTTTTTATTCCATCACGATAGATAGGAACGGTAATTGCACTATTAATAATAGAGAAAAGTGAAGACAATTTCAATGATCCAGTTACAAACAAACTATGTTTGTTAATTAATATCTTTTGTCAGGGTGTCAATCATAATTGGGATTTGATGGAAATGTAACTATATTAAATCACCGATTTCAATTTTAATGTAAATTTATCAATAGATTTGACAAGTAATATAGCTAGTTATTGTATTGTTGAAAGTAAATGTCTACAAGCAGCAACTACTCGAAATAATTCAATTGATTACTATCATCTTACTTGAAAACATATACTGTATAATTGATATTAAGTAATGGAAGAAGACCCATTAATAAAAAAAGAATTTGAAGAAGTCAATAAACTTCTATCATTAGTAGAAATAGCGATGAAACAATCATTATCGAATGGTACGTAGTAAAGTTTTGATAAAGCATGATATCCTAAAATTTTTTGTTTTAATATCATTTTATTTCAGCTTTTAAAATATGAACAAATATAGATTCTCTTGAAAACTTTTCATTGTAAAACGGTTAGCATAGAGAATTAAGCTGAACAACATTCTTTTTTGTAGTTTCTTATTTTCCTTTCTTATATCAAAATTGAAATATAATAATAATTAAGAATTCTCATTTAAAAAAAAACATAGATTTAAGAAATAAAGAATCAAAACAAAAAACAAAAATAACTAATTAGTTAATTTTAAAAGTAATTTAATACTTTCTATTTAACAAAACAAATGAATTATTTTATTGGCTTTTCCTTTTATTAAACGAGTAGATAGTGATGTAATTGCTAAGTGTATTTTTGTTGATATGTGTCATTAATATAATCTTATTAAAATCGTAGGACATGTATATATAAATACTTTTTTGTTTAATAACAGTTTATATTCTTTCCAAGCAATTGAAAAACAATCATGACTATTAAGAGTGATACTCTTTTCTTACTCAGCACTCTTTTTTGTCAATCATAAAACGAGACATTTTCTATATTGAAATGTAAATATTCAAGATGGCCGTCTGTTGTGATCGATGATTCATTATGTATTAATAATTAGACATGATGATGTTACCGACCCGTTCTTTATAAATCCAAGTGAAACAGAACAAAAAAACAATTTGTTGGTAAATTCCAACTTAATTTTTATTTCCAGTTATAAATATCATGAGGTATCTTCATTTAGTGTTCTTTACTAAATACAATTTAATATTCAATAGTTAAATTCTGTTTTTTTTTGAACTATTTACATACGATTCTATTTTTCCTGTGATTTATTGTAATTATGATTACTCTCATATTATCAATATGACTGAAGCAGGAATACAAATTCCTGAAGATTATGATTATCCTATTTCAGATCATCTGATTATTTGGCTTGATGCATATATTGGTAGATCTAACGAATATAAAAAATTAAAACAGACTTTTACGAGTAATATGGATCCACGAAGTCAAACTTGGACAATGTTGACTGATCCAGATTATGATAACCTTCTTCATGTTAATACACCCACACCAGTTCATTTTGCTGGGGTACCCTTTCTACTGTTGACCTTTGATGATCCAACTAGATGTTATGAATCTTTCGAACAGAATAAAGATAAACTTATCTATTTTATTACTTCTGGAATTATGGGCAAAGAAATTGTACCAAAACTTATTGCAAATTATGAACAATTATTTAAAGATCCAATCACTAGGAAGATTTATTATTCAATTTATATCTTCTGTGGAAATACAAAATATCACATGGATTGATTATATACGGTTCGAGGTTATGTACAAACATTTAATCATGAGGCTGATTTATTAGTGCGTATGACGCGTGATGTTGCTGATTATTTTGTTGAACAAGGTCAACGTTGTCTTCAAAATGCGCTTCTTCGTTACAAATGGTCAAAAGAACTTTACTCAATATTGTAAAATGGGAGAAATTTGTAGAAAAGAAATGTAGGATGTCGAAAAAATGACGGCAGATATAGAAAAAATTCTACAACCACACATATCTAATCCTCATGTTGACGAAAATTATCTCAATGGAAACAATTATAATGATGATGAACAGCCTAGTGAACCCTGCAGCTGATACTTGACCGTTAACTTTTATTTGTTTTTTGTTGTTGTTGCCCATATCATGAATATGATTGGTAAATTTTTGTTGTTTCTTTATATTATATTATGTTATTTAATGACGAAACTGTCGACTTCGTTCTTTGTATAAGTTTCTTCTGTCACAGAAAAATGGGAAAGATTAACAACCACTCAGCTACTGAATTTGCGGCAGTCAGAAAATAAAGCAATTATTAAAAATATGTTTAAATAACAGTTTCAATTCCAAGCTTTTCGCACTTGAACAGCAGCACTAGAAGTCTTGAGAATACCTTAGGACTACAGGGACATTTAAATTCTCTATCTATTGATGCTCAATGTAAAACATTTAGCATTGAATTTGATGAATACAAGCTTGCACGAATCGTTAGATGTCTGCAGAAAATAGCAGTGAATCGTCATTGGACAGTGAAGCAGCCTTCAATCTTTCCTATTTTTTGTCAACAAGAAAAAATTATTGGAAAAAACAAAGTCTACATTTTTGTAGAGCAAAAAACTATCTACTGAATAAGCTTAGAATGGTGCCTATGAACAGTATTCTCATTCTTCAAAAACTAAATCTAAAACTG